AGATACAAGAAAATTAATTGCTTAGTAATACAATTGTTGGTGCTAACACAGATATTTCTCACAGAAGTCTTCACCCAAAGTAGCTACTTTTTGACATAACAGTGTTCTTTATAGTAAGTTCAAGAAGACTCTCTGATTGCTTCTTCTGATGACTCTCAACATACATCATTTCACTGATGAAATTTTACTAATACAAAATAGATAACATGGGGATAGCACAGCAAGGAGCAACACAGTGTACAAATTCAGCTGCTCTAAGATGATTTGGACTGACCCAGAAGTAAATTTTATAAACCTGTAAGAGTGAAAAGAAGAGTGGATAAGCCTCACACATTCCCCTGTGATTATTGAATCTCTTAACTCCACTTTTGACATTTATCCAGCAGCCACAAAGTTAAAACAAATACCCCCTAGTAAATGCCTGGGAGATAGCTCTTTTCTGTTGTCACTTAATCTGAAACCAGTTTAGCTGCAGGAAAAGATGATGACTTTTTGTGAGTGCTGAAAAGTCTACCTAGAACCAGCAACTAAAAAGAGGATCTCCATGTTAAGCACCTACCAGTAGGATACTAAGAATTCTTAAACTTACCAAACTTGCTCCAAAGCAATATACCTAATGCTGATCAAAGTCCCAACCCAAAGTTCTACTTCATATAGCACGACTAACAAAACTTTAGTCAAAAGTATTATAATCAAGCTAGGTGCAGTAGCACATGGCTGTTAATTCCTGCTACCAGGGAGACTGAGACTGGAGGACTGCAAATTCAAGGCTAGTCTGGGCAACTTAATGAGACTTGTCTTAAAACACAAGGGCTGGAAGTATAGCTCAACCGTAGAACACTTGCTCCTGGGTTCAATCCCTACTACTGCCAAAAAAAGTATTTTAATGATTATAGTCAAGATATGAAGAGTCTTAAGAAGAACACTTAAGCAAACAGTAACAAGAAAARCAAGTAACTGCATTTACAGTTATTTAAAGGATTAAGCTGCTAATAATATTCAGTAACATTTCACATAATCTGCATCTCTCCCAGCAAGTTCAAATACAGCGACAGACATTTTTCTGATTGTTCAGCAACCAGAATGTTGAGAAGTTTAAATTGCTCAAATTCACTCAAACTTCTGCGCTTTTTTTTTAAAGACCATACACATTAGAAATTTAGTTATCTGCTCTCCTAGCTCACAGTTATAATCAGCAAGTCAAAATGAGAAGTGCAAAGAAAGAGCTGCTAGAAACAGTTGTAAGAAATAACAGCTACCTTGCTAGGAAGAAATAGCAGCCTGTAAAAACAAAGAACACCAAACACACAATCTTAAGGGGCCATTTAGCAAAAACCTCTAGGGACCTCAAGAGTCTCAAAGGGCAATCATTGTACAGTGAGCATATTCATAGAAACATGTCCAGAATAAAGTCATCAGTAAGATATTATGTCATGCATAATCTTGTTAAAGAAGGTAGGGAAATGTATAGTCCTTTTTTAAAAGCAATTTATTCAAAGTGTTTTAAGTATTGTTTATTGTAGTTTAAATGTGAGCACTTAAATTACAGCTTCAGTTATACAGAAGACTACATTCACAATAAATGCTGAGTAAGGCACTACAGTTGATGGTACAATATTAAGCTTAATTCAAACACCAGTTTCAAATAATGCAGGTTCTTTACTCCATGACTACTGTAAAAAAAAATGAGGTGCTAATCTAATTTGAAATAATATTCAAGTCCTGAAATACAATCTTGACCTATGTATGTTATTAAAAGTATTTTAATTGTGAAATCAACATCTGTCTCTACCTTGCTTAACTCATCCTACTATCTCCSTAAATTCCTCTTAGTTCTTTCTATCTAAAAGACAGGAAAATTATGACTATTGGAGGACTTTCTCTTAAGTATTGATTAAAAACTGAGACAAATGTTATTTTTAAATGTTTATGCAAATTATTAAACATATATTTAATAATCTGCTCATGAACATTGCTAATCCATTGCAAGAGAATTTAGATTTTAATTATTTGCCAAAAGAACTAAAATCAAAGTAATATTTCAGCTTTTTAGTAAACCATTAAGCTTAAAAACAACAAAAAATGACTGTCTGATTTTCTATGAATGAAAAATGTAAGTTAAAAAAAAGTCTGAAAAGTTTTAACAATTTAGTTTTTCAATGTGCAAGGAAAATAGTCGTTGGTGCAGAGAGCCAAAGTCAGTCTATGAATATTTTGGAATTGAGTGTGGAAGAGTCTTCAAATTATCTACTTTTTCTTCACCACAATCTGTGAAAAAGTATAAATAAAACTGTACTTATTTGCTGAGATAAGAACCATACAGACGTTTTAAGTCTACAATATGCAATACTGTGCACTAGGGGAAAACAGTAATGAAATAATTACATATATACACAATCACAATGAGCCAAAATTCAGTTCAGCTTTTTTCCTTGACTGTCCTACTTAACCAAACAGGCTATTTCCAAAGTGCTAAACTGTAATAATATCGTCCTCTTATAAAGTTTTAAACCTAAAGAATCGTGTACTTATTTCATAGGGCTTTACACCTCAATTGTTTAAGGGTTAAGGAAAAAGCATTATTGTTTAAGTATGATATGTGGCAGTGGGGTTTGCGTTTTGCTTGTTTTTGTTTCATAAATTGTTCAATTATCCCAGAATATCAGCAGAGAATCACAAAATAGAAGATTCAAAGTGTTTTTGTTTACAAAAAAAATGCACATGCCTCACCTGGCTGCTATAAATACATACCTATCAATACTATGACCCTGCTCATATTTGAAATAAGTAAAATATGAGCATATTTTGTTTAAGGGCTATTATTAATTTCAGGACTATCACTACAAGTTACCAATAATCTAGTTCAATATTATTTTACAGATGACAAAACCAGAAAATAGGAAGGTTGCAGGACTTGTTAAAGTACATGTTTGCTAATGAAGAAATCAACTTGGAACCCAATTGTGTTTCCACTAAACCAACTTCTTCCCAACTTAAATATCAAGTCATTTCTGATTTGATATATAAAGAGTGAACTCGTTAAAAGCCATGGGTGAAATTTAATAACTTTCAAAGTTAAACCAAAGCAGCATAAATGCATAATACTACTTTGTTCGTTTTGCTGAATTGGGGTGGGTCTATTAAAACCTACAAATGGCCCATAATTACTTTTTTCCAAAAAGTAAAAGTTATTTAGACAAAGCCTATCCAATAGACACCATTACTAGATAAAGATAACTTATATGTATCATCAACTATGTGAAGAAGCATAACAGTCTTAATATTATTATCTACCTAAATAACTACACAGATTAAAATGTAAGCCAGAAATTGAAATTTATTTTCGCTACTATATTAAATGTATGTATAAACTGTAATTAAAGTCAGCATTAATTTCAAAGTAGAAATTAAATAAATAAAAGTAATGAAAATACAACTAGCCTAGTTAAACATACACATACATTAATGATGTTACTGAAATTTCTCAAACATAGCTGAAAATTTAATTTAAATAAGGTTGAAATACAGATTCCTTTCTTTTACTAAACTGACCCTGATGAGGACACAAATGAACAGCAAATGATCTAAAACCAGTGAAGATTAAAATGGACAAATAAAATGAGTAGTATTCACCACTGAATTTATTCATTCAATAAATATTAACTGTTAGATGCTATACTGGGAAGAATTATAAAAGACTAAGCAAAAAGCAGATGACACCACTGTCTTGTGAAATTTAACTATGATGGAGCTTTTATGAAATATATTACATCAAGCATTGTACATGATTGAACCTTACTTGGAACTATCCTCATTTTAAAACATCTTTTTAATATCTGTAAAATAAAGGTAAGAAAATCCACCTAACTTATAATGTTCTATTTACCTAACTTTAAAAAATATTTGCTTCATTTTAAGAGAATTAAATAAAGCCTCTCTCAAAAGTTGTATCCTACACAGTAAAAATGACAAATATTCCATATTATTTTACTATTTACAATTCTAAATGCCACAACTGTCAGTGAGACAGATCTTCTTGCTAGATAGACGAATATTTATAACGGCCCAACTTTTAAAGTCACTCAAAGTTATTGAATATAACTCCTAATACAACAACGTGTATTCTGCTTAAGATGCTAGGCACATTTTTTAACACGAGGATTTTTTTTTTTAAGTACAGATATAAATTACGAAGGAGGAAAAGGTTTCATCATCCAATTCTGTGAGGATTATTGCTGGCTGCTGATTAGGGTTTAATGGAACAACGTAATTTTAAAAACAACTTAAAATATATCAGCATATTAAAATCAGTTTTTTCTGAATACTAGGCTACTAGATAATAATTATCCCTGTTATGTTACATTTCTAGTAGAAGGGAAATCTACATTCGTAATTAGAAAACATTTAAGGAAGGGCAGACCTGGGAATAAATCATTGACACGAAGACTAGGTATCCTCCATGGTCCCACTCTTCTGGTAGTGCACAAACAGCCCTAGCACTATAGTTATAAGTACCTACCCATGAACACACAATGCAGTAGGCACTCAATATTTGTGGGATGAAAGGAGTGAAGATCTATGTAAACAAAATGCGTTCCGATTTTGAGGCAACACAGTAAACAATCACAGCAACTACTTTACCAGAAGCTGGCTGACAGCTTAATGTGCACTAAATTAAAGAGCTCTTCCTCCTTACCCTCCTCTTTCACTCTGACACTAGACTGCACGTTCAAAACAAATCCTCCCCGGCCCCGCCCCAAGCCCTACCSGCGGTCGCCTTCAGCTCCAGAACTGATGGAAAGTCCGGGGCCTCGGCAGTGCCCAGACACCAGCTCCTCTCCTGGCCCCTGGACGCCRCCGGATACGCCCGGCACAGAAAAGACAGCGACGCTGGGACCACCGCCCCTCAGCCCCGGGACCCCCCCGGGGACTCGCGTGCCTGCTCAAAGCCCTCGGCCCGCGGCGCCAGCAAGCCCCTTCCCCTCGCCCCGGCCGCCTACCTGCACACCGTGATCAGGTTCCTCCTTTCCACCGCAGCATTGCGGGCGCTCAGGCTCTTCTTGCCGGCACCGCTACTGCCGCGGCTCCCGCTCAGGCCCCCCAAGCTCCGGGAGGCCATGGCGGGCTCACCCCCGTGCCCCCTTTGTCTCGAGCGACCCCGCACGCCCCCCACACCTGTTTCCCGGGGCCGTCGCTGCGTGCGCGACCTTGGGGCTGAGGGAGGGACGTAGGGAAAGCGGGATGGTGTGGAAGACAGCAAGGGATTCGCACCCGGGGACTGACGGCTGGCCCTCCGCACCGGTGCTCCAAACACACACACACACACAAACACGCGCGCGCGCTCACACACGCGCTCACACGCACGGACCACCTCCGCCCTCGCGCGCGCCGCCGGCCGCGGGGTGGCGCGCGCGAGCTGGCGTCGGACGCTCCCGTACTTCCCTAGGGACTTGGGCAGCCCGCGCGCGCTCGAGCCCTTCAGCTTCGCACGCCTAACCACCCMCACTTTGCCGCCACAGGCGCCCAGTCAGGGCAACTGCAGTGAGGGCCCGAGCCTCGCGCGCGCAGCCCCGCCTTCCCAGTACCTACCGGGTAAACTCTGCACCGGCTGGAGCCAATCACCGCACGAGGGCGGGGCCGACTGCGCGGACCTTTAAAGCAACGTGCCCGAGCCCCGCCCCGACGCGTGGGCAGCTGTCAATGCGCCGGGCTCGCGCTCGCCGCCCGCGTGCGGCAGTTAGTCGGAACACAACCAAGCARCACCGCTTTCAGCGCGGGGATTGTGGGATGCGGGCCCCAGTGTGTCCGGGCCCACCTATTCGGAGCTAAGCTTTAGCAGCCGAGTCTCAAGCTTTAATGACTGATCCCTAGTCCGGTGGCTTCCGTAGCTTCAGAGACAAGGATGCAGCAGGGCTGGCACTCGCACCCGACCAGAAGCCTGATTAACCAGAAGGGAGGGGGGGTCCTTTTGTCCTAACGCCCTCCCCGGACCTGATAAAGAGCGACACAATAGCTCGAGGAAGACAACTGCCCGTAGAATGTCCTTCTTGGGGCATCTGATGGTAGGATTTTTTGACTCCACACATCACAGCGCTCTCACCTCAGCGTCCAGYACTGCCTGCAACCAGGAAAGAACACCCGCGTAAGAACCTGTTTACTGCGAGTATGTAGTCTGCTCGCGTCCTGGGTAGTGACCCCAGTTTGGGGTAGGTAGTGAGCCTAGGGGCGTTTCGCCTTGGCAGGGMGGGCTGCTCCCTTAGAGGGACCTGGAGCGCGCCCTCGACGCGATGCGCTTGTGGAGAAGCGACCCCTTCCCAGAGCTTCACCACCACCTTTCAGGTGTTACCTTCGGGAGGCTCCAGGCTTTGGCCCAAGACCTCTGGCACTCGCTATTCGCTACCCTTTGGGTGCGCCCAGGTTTTCGAAAGAAATTTTTAGTAACTCCTGTCTCCACAGGACTTAGCACAATGCTCTGCATAAGACACGTTCTTAGTAAATGCGCCTTAAATTTAATTCGAGGTTACATTTAACATTATTTTTACTGAAATTTCGCAGTTTCAGCGGCTTCAAAATCCAGACAATTTCCACCTCTGGATTTGAAATTCCTGTCAAAGAATGTTATAGCACATATAGAGATTTCTGTACTTATGTATTATACACAGTAATTCTGTGTATTCTGTGCTGAATGCCTTTTATGCGGTGTTTTGTATAATAAAACTGTATGTTACCAATTTTTTTTTCTTTTTTGAGTACCAGGGTGAACTCAGGGGCACTTGGGCACTGAACCACATTCCCAGCCCTATTTTGTGTTTTATTTAGAGACAGGGTTTCACTGAGTTGCTAAGTGCCTCGCTAATCTGCTAAAGATGGCTTTGAACGTGTGCGATCCTCCTGTCTCAGCCTCCCCAGCTGTATGTACTAATTTCTAAGGAGGGATTGAACCCAAGCTCTTTCTAATATTTTATTTTGAGACAGAATCTTGCTAGGTTGCTTACAGCTCGTTAAATTGCTGAATTTGGTTTGGAACCTGCCATCCTTCTGTCTCAGCCTCCTAGTCGCTGGGATTACAAGTGTATGCCACCAAGCAGGGCAAGATTTTAAAGATTAAAATCAGGGCAGATTCTCACCTATGCCTACTAAAGCTAATTCCGGTAGGATAAAAACTCCATAGGGAAAAAAAAATCTGTCTCAACTAAGTTACTACAATACATATTCACCTATTAAAATTATGAGAAAATAATTTAGGCAGACTTCATATCTCAAGTAAATAGAAACAAGGGAGTTTTCCACAAGCGGGTGTATGTAGCTAGTTAGTGCACTGTTCTCAAACATTTCTTGTCTGCTCTACATAGACACTTGTGAGGTTTCCTTCCTAGGAACTGCATCTTAACTTGTCTTTTCTTGGTAGCCCAACAGTGTAAATTCAAAGTAGCCATTAGGAAACCAGTACAAGCAGTCTCAGTAAATATTTATTCTGGCAATGACAAATACTGCTCAAATTGATGTTGTCAGTTTTTAACATTATTGTGTATTTTTATTCTTTTATTTTATTTACTTTTATGTGGTAGTGAGGATTGAACTCAGTGCCTTGAACATGCTAGGCAAGTACTCTACTATTAAAGTTACAACCACAGCCTGATACTGTTATTTTGTTTGTTTAATATTTTTCATTGTAGATGGACATAATACCTTTATTTTATTTATTTATGGATGTGGTGCTGAGGATCAAACCCAGTGCCTCACACATGCCAGGCAAGTGCTCTACCACTGAGCCACAATACCAGCTCCTCCCATATTCTTATTTTTTTAATCACAGATTAAAATTGCATAAGGCCAGGTGCAGTGGGGTGCACCTGTAATCCCAATAGCTGGGGAGGTTGAGCTCAAAGCCAGCCTTGGCAACTTGGCAACTTGGCCCTAAGCAACTCAGTGAGATCCTGTCTCTAAAAATTACAAAAGGGATGTRGCTCAGTGGTTAAGCATTCCTGGGATCAATCCCTGCTACCAAAAAAACAAAAACAAACAAACAAAAAAACACTACATAACATTATGGGGAGACACCTCAGAGAACACTCTAAGTCCGAATTTCAAATCAAAAGAGAGCTTTATTTACCTGGCCAGAGACTGTCACCCTCCACAGAGATTCAAGCTCTGTGGGAGGACAGCAGCTTCCTTGTCCATCCAAAGAGAATATAAAGCACAAAAACCACAACTCAGTGACTTGCTTATTGTCATGTAAGCTAGCCAATCATAGAAATTAAAACATTAATAAGTAGGACCTGTGGGCTCTAGGCAGGACTGGAATTCTCCAGTCAGCAAACAAGTGATAATCAGAAGCTAAAATAGCATTAGCTTTGCATTTCAGTTGACCACAGTCCTGGGTTCAAGCAGATGCTAGACAGTCAGTCGCATTCTGAACTTGGGCAGGGCATGGGCAGGGTGAGAATCTACTTCAAAGTCATATAGACCCACAAGGGCATTCACACTCAGGATGTAGCTCACCACAACCATACCACCGCTTCATCCTGAGTAGAGTACAATTTGTGAGGTACAAAGTTCAGAAAGACAATTTTTTAAATAAGAAAATAGCTTTCATTTCAATTTCTTAGAAACAGCTCTTGTAACAGGTTTTTCTAGAAGGCAGCAAAATGAAGTCTTAGGCCTGTCTATGAGAATTCTTGCTTTGTAATTGTCTTATCTCACTTTTCAAAATCTTATATCTATAATCTATTTTTACTAATCTATAACCTATAACTTACACTCTTATTGATTGTATTTATGAGTTCACACCACAACAATAGGAAAAGGAGTAGAAAGCACACATGTGCTTGGTATGTCCTTAGGGAGAGAGAACACACAAATCTCTGAGGTATTTATCTAAGAAGACAGAGTGTAATATGTTGGAACAAGAAAAGTGACATGTTAACATTTTTGAAATCTGGTGTCCAGCATCAAGTGCCTTTTCATGTTACCTGTACTTGGTGGTTATAGTTATGACTGAAGACAGTAAAATCCACTTTATTATTTTCATTCATTACTTTTGGGGGACTCAGTTGACATGTTGGTACTGGTTTAAAAAGATTTTGTCTTAATAAAGCAATTTTTTTCTTCAAATMTAAGGCATGTAATTAAATTGCTATCTGCAGTCTTTATTTGATAAGGCTTTTACTCAGTTATCCAGAGCTGTATGTCCTAGGTCTCTATTTCTGTATTACTAATCTGGAGATTACTAATCAATTTTATCTTGTACATAGCCTTATACTACTACAGCTCCATGAGTTTTCATACTGCTCTTTGAACTTCTTTTGGTGCCTGTTCAGATTCTTTATTTATTTGATCACTGGCATAAAAATTATTCAAAGATATAAAAAGATTCACTATAACAATCAAGAAAACAGTAGATTCCTAATCCAACCTATATGAATTCTATTAGTACTGAATGTGCATACCATCCACATTCACCATTTTCCCTAATCTCCTTCTATCGAAAGAGATAAAATTACAAATGTAATCTCTGTGTGTACTCTTATACAAAATGCTATAAGACAAGGTGATTTTACCAAACCATAATTTATTTTAGTCTCAAAGAAGAAGTGAACTTTCTAACTATGCCACAAACTCAGCAGTCTTAAAAAAAACAAAAAACAAAAAAAGACTGGAACAATGGATGATACAGATGTTTATAAAACCACAAATCAAGAATCAATCTAAGCAAAATCAAAAGAAAAAGATCAGGCAGGGCTGGGGTTGTGGCTCAGTGGTGGAGTGCTCGCCTAGCACATGTGAGGCCCTATGTTCTGTCCTCAGCACCACATATAAATGAAATAAAGTTATTGTGTCCACCTACAACTATATATATATATATATATATATATATATATATATATATATATATATATATATATAAAAGATCAGACTGAGAAATCATTCTTGAAATTAATGTCATGAACAAAGAGCTAATTTCCTTACATAGAAATCAATAAGCACTAGTAAACATTGTTTGGTAGATCAATGAAGGTGAAAGCCAAATAGGAATGAGTAAAAGTCAGTAGGAAGTGAAGATCAAACAACTCTTCTAAAAAGTTGTGAGCTAGAGGTGTAGTTCAGTGGTAGAATGATTGCCTAGCATGCTGGAGGTCCTGGGGTTGATCCCCACTACCATATACATACACACAAATTGTTGTGAAGGGGGAAGAAAAGAGACTGGCAGTATAGGAGAACTTTGAATAGAAGGATGTTGATATTTTATTACTTTAGTGTTTTCCTTTTCAAAAACATGACTTGAGCACATTTTAAAGCTAATAGAATGAATCCAAGTGAATGGGTAAAATTAGTAGTATGTATGAGAGGGAAAAAAGATCCAGACATTGCATGAGTTATATCAACTAATCTTTAGAGACATTCTCTGAAGTAGGTACTATTCTATTCTCTCATTTCCAAACAAGGAAACCCACTTAGAGACATAAAATAGGAAGTAACACAGTAAATGGCAGAGCCAGGATTGAAATAAAGAACTATT